GAGATATATATATATATATATATATATATATATATATATATATATATATATATATATATATATATATATATATATATATATATATATCTTTCTTTATTTTGAACAAAATTTCCTATTGTTTTTGTCATATCAAAAGGGGGGAGATTGTTAGAACACAAATTGGTTCTTAATATATCTCTATGTTTTGATGATAACATTAATGAAATTTTGTATGAAGTAAATATATACTCTAATCGTATTCAAGTGTTTTTGTTCCAGATATTAAAATTAATATTCCTCTGGAAGCAAAAACTCCTCTGAAAGTTAAGAATCAGAAGACTCTGAACGCTGCCTGAAAGAGACTCTGAGCGAAGCTGTAGAAGACTCTGAGCGAAGCTGCAGAAGACTCTGAGCGAAAAAGCATATGTAAAGAATCAGAAGACTCTGGAAGTACTTAACGCTGCAAGTACAGAGGCTCTGATATTCAAGTCTGCTTTTATAAATATCATTCACGCTAAAGCACGTGATTGCAAATACTCTGAATAGAGTAACTCTGATCTGAAGAACAAGGAACATCATCAGAGGATCTGATGCAAGACTGTTCCAGATTTGTTGAAGAAGATGTTGTTCAAATAAAAATCCGTTGGCATGTTCCTTGTCCTTATCCAAACGGCTCTTTCCTCATTCGTGCATGACACAAGAATTCAGAAAAAAAGGATTTGTCTGAACATTCCTCTTCTGGGAAAGAAAAGTCAAAGAAGACAGAATGCCACCTGCACGCCCTTTAAGAAATGAAAGTGAAGTTCTATTTAAACAAGACTTCTACATCATTTCTAAGTTGACGAATTATTGAACAATCAAAGAACGATATTCAAACATCTCTCAACTTCATTCTAGATTTAATTCATTCTTCATTTGTGTAAAATCACAGTTGTGATATACCTTTTTAGAAGCAACTCTTAAACACACATTGTATTTTTACTTGTTGTAAAGTTCTTTGAGAGACCAAGTGTGGTCAGATTTCTTGAGAAGACTAAGACTGTTTGTCTTAGTGGTTATCACTGTAATCAGTTTGATTTAGTGGATTAAGTCCTTGTTGAGAAAGGCAAATCACCTTGGTAGGGTGGACTGGAGTAGTTTGAGTTCAAACGAACCAGGATAAAAATACTTTGTTATTTTTACTATTGTCATAGTTGTTATTTGAAACCCTTATTCAACCCCCCCCCCCCCCCTCTAAGTGTTTTTCCTACCTTCAATTCACCTGTGCAGGATCCTTATGCTAACCAAGGCTAGGGAGAATGGCAACACACTAGTTAGACTAACCAAGGCACATCTTATATGCCTCAGTCTCCACCTTAATATCAACCAGATAATTCTGAAGTCCTTGAGATGTTGTAGAATATGCAAATTCAACAATAGAATTTTGTGACTCTTCAAGAAGAAAGGTTTGCAACTATGCTGGGTCAGATCCAAGCCCAAAGTGATAATTTTGATTTGTTTGCTTCCAAAATTTTACGCAGGTTTGATGTTATGACTGAGACAGCTGCAAATCAGCATTGATCTCTTTCTATTTGCTTTAATATGCTAATTAAATTGGACTATTCTTGACTTCACTTAACGACAAGAGGAGAAAAGAGAACCACATCAGGATTACTCCTTCAGAGAGAGGGTCACCCACATAGGGGGAGAAGACCGTAGAATGTTGAGATGTGTTGGTGTTGTGCATTTCATTTAGTATTTTGTTGTGTGTTTTGTTTTGTTATTTGTTTTGCTTGTTTGTTTGACTTGAAACTTGTAATGAACTACTTTTGATGTGTAATGCTCTAAGTTTCCTTCTTTATGTTTCATGTCTTATTTAAGTCTATATCTCTTGCATTAACAACATTATATGTGAATGTTTATTGATGTTTTATTTGTTGCAAAGAGTATAATTGCGTACATATGAATATGTTTTAATTACGAATGACCTATTGCTTCACTCTTTTTGATGTTGTCAAAGGGGGAGAATGTAAAAGCAAGTGCTTCACAAAGAAAGCTCATAATTTTACAAAGAGAAATGCATAAAGTAAGAGGGAGAATGCTTTACAAAGTACTCGATGTGTTAGAGGTTTGCAAAGGTTTTGCCATTATCAAAAAGGGGGAGTATGTGAGGTCAAGGTTCCTTAGTGCTTTGTTTTAATGATGTCAAAACTAATAATATCTCGTACTTGTGTACTTTGAATGATATCATCGCGTCTTAGATTGCATTCATCCTTTAATATGCATATAATAATCCACATACGTGTGTCTATGCATATAGGATCATCCCATATATGAAAATTGTGCATTGGATCATGTTGGATACCTTTGTTCAACTCAAAAACTTTTAAAAATGTGTTTGTAGCATTTTGGTGTCTTTGCGTCGACTCACGGATGTGTGGAGGTCGACACATACTATTGGACAAATCATTTGTTGCTCTCGGGTGTTCTTGCGTCGACCCAAAGATGTGCGGTTATACCCTATACAGATCTGATGGTTCTTCTAGTTCTTCCTGAACAACATTAGGGATATTGTTAACATTATCATCAAGGAAATCAGTTGGCTTTTCGAACTTCAATGATTCATCAGTTGGTTTCCTTTTCTCCTCAAATAGCAGTAGAAGGTTGTGTCCTACTTCTTTTTCTAATGGATGTTCTGGTTCTGTTATGTGCAAATCCAATTATTGTTCTTGGTTCTCCTCAATAGTTGCTAGAGTTGCGTCTCTAAATTTAGCATCAGCGAAATCGTCAGGAAAGGAAGTTGCAGCTACAGGTTCTACGAATGTATAAGTTTGTTCCATTTCTTCATCTAATTCCAGAAAAAAGATGTCTTCATTCAGGTTTAAAACGCCAAAGAAACATTTATGTGAATGTATTCCAAGATATCGATGGATGACATTGAGACTGTCATTGCCACCATTTGAAAGCATGGTTTCTCAATGTTCCAACCATTTTCAACACCTTCAATGGCTCTAGTGTTCCATATTCCTTGAAAATTTTATCAAAACAAAGAATCAATCAATTGACCTCATCTTTTTCCATCAAACAATAATATTATCATGAGTTCAAGCAGAAGTGAGATCGAAAATGAGAGCACTAATTGATTAAAAGTTTTTCCTACCAATACTATGAAAAAAGGAGAGAGAAATAAAACTATCTAAAAATTTTAAAATAACATATATAAAAATTAAAAACACAGAATGAAAAGATTATTTAAACCTATTTCTTAACCATTTTATAACAATTGGCACGAAAAGGAACTTCTAGGATGAAAGATTCTGTGCCATATTTTCTGAGTGACTCTAATGCCTTCAACATTCATAACACTTTTATCACCAATTTTAATTCTTTTTCTTACTGATTAAATACCCCAACCTTTCTTTTTACTATGTGATTTGAGCATCCAATGTTAATCATAGTTTTTTTTTCGGTTTTGAAAAATTGGCAAAATAATATTATCGGAATGAGTCGCATACTTGTCTTTTTTAAAACGTTTCATTATACTGTCAATAATTATGCAATGCAGTTAAATTTGAACGACGCCTCTAAGATAGAAAAGTCAGTTCAAAATTATAATTATCACTTAATTTATATTACACGCAATTAATAAATTAATTAATATTAAATAATTTTTCAAATACAAAAAAAAATGGATCAAACCCCAAGCCCAGACTGAGCCGGCGGTGCGTGTTATGTTTCATAATAGTATATTCTCACCCAACCACAAAATTGGATACCCCTTGAGACCCAACCTAATTTGTGCACTTGAAATATATAAACACTACTAAAATGTGTTATCGCTGCTATGTGAAACTTTAATGAACTTTTTCAAACTCACCAACACACTCTACCTCATAATGTGCTCAATTGTAGCCAACTTAATATCATTAACTTCTTCCAAATCCACATTTCATGTTATCATCATTCCAAATATTCCAACCATCATTCCAAATATTCCAAACCGAATTGATGGAATGTTCCAACCAACTTAATATCATTAACTTCTTCCAAATCCACATTTCATGTTATCATCATTCCAAATATTCCAACCATCATTCCAAATATTCCAAACCGAATTGATGGAATGTTCCAACCGAATCATCATCGAGCAAACTTGCACCTCATCACTTTTCTCCTTCACAAACTTTTTGGATCTACACTCGTGTAAAATGGCCCTACTTTTGGCAATTATAACATTGGATTTCCTTCTTCCTAAACTTCTTTTGTCCTTTGCTACTATTTAACCTTTCTTAGCAAGTGCACCGTTTAACTCACTATTGTTCGAGCTAAACACCATTGTTATTAGCTAGCACTTGATATGACTTGAACTCAAATACAAACATGGTTTTGTAATACCAATTTGATAGAACAATTGCACTTTGTAAAGATGGCGATGAACATTCAAAGTATATTTATAAGAATTTCAAAGATATAGAGATAAGGAATCAAGTTTAGTGATTTCACTTCATCATGAATTACATACTTAACCAACTTGAAACCAAATGCTTCCAACTAATATCACACACTTAACCAACTAATTTGAAAATATACACTAATAATAGCCAATTCTACTGTTGTTTAAACATCAGGACCCTAATAACGTGTAAAAAGAAAACTTGTCATCTATAGTTTTAAATCATCCGTTTCTCACAATATTTATATTAATGACTTCCCTCTACATTCCGATCAGCAAATCACTTTGAATAATCTAATTCCCTCTACATTCCGAACAGCAAATCACTTTGAATAATCTAAAATATAGTGTGGAAGAGAGGAAAATCATCAATCTACCACGTCAGGGAATGAGTACGCCGACTCAAAAGAGTGTACAAAGTTGTAAAACAATGTACTTATAGATATAAAATCCAAACTACGCTTTAGACGCGTTAAATGTATGATGCTACAACAAAGCCAAAATTATCACTAGACATGCACAGTGGTCAAAACTTAAAAGACTGCAAAAAAATCCTGATCCTATCAAAAGCTCAAGATGTCACAACTTGCTAATCCAGTCTCTGCTTGCTCTTGGTTCTTCTCATCTTTGCCTTAAATCTTGACTTTACCAACAGAGTCTGTACTGTATTTTCAAAGTTCCCAATGGCCATTATGACCAACAGAAGACCGCAAAATATTACCTGTCCGAAGAGTTACTGTCATTATAAGGCTAGCCTTTGCAATAAACAATAGCACCGGAACCGGGTTCATTTTCATGTGTTCCTAGTCAAATTTTGACAAGTAAAAAAGCTTGCAGGAGCATACCTGCCATTCAGAAATCTCCCCTGCAAATGCAGTATTGAGCAACAATAGTCCAACATATGCCTCAAATCCCTGAATCAAGATAGGATCACAAATACAGATGATGAATGTCCAAGCTTTTCCATGAAGTAAAACTTAATAACATACAATGCTAGAACAATAAATTTGAAAGCGTGTGTATCATCAGTTTATGTATGAACTAATCACACTTTTACCAGCAAAAAACCCGACATATGCTTCTCAACTAATTAACCATCACTCACAATGAAATCACGAAAGACAAATCAACAATATTAAAGGAACATGAACATTGCACACACAAAAACGCCTCGTACTAACACCAAAAAAAGCAGATTTAAACCTCGAGTAAAATATCATAATCTATAAAAAGAAATTATCATAACCTATAAAAGAAAATTATTGTTTTAAATATTATTACACTTAAAACTTGAAAATATTTATTTAAACAGATTTAAACCTGACAATTAAAATAAAAAATCGGTTAGTAATAGGCAGTTTATTTTATTATTATTATTATTAAATAGTGTGTGCAGTAACTGTTATGTAACTGCTTCAGGTAGTCAGAATAACAAATATAGGGAAGGGATTAGGTATTCTGTATGTTGGTTGGTTTGGGAGAGACTAGGCTCTCCGATTTTTAGAGGTTGGTTTATTTGTCAATTGTTGGTTTTGTATATAGTTTGTCTTATTTATCAATTCAATTACTGTCTTTGTTCCTCTGTTCTAGAGTTTCTATTCTTATCCTTTATTCACATGTTCATCATATCCCCCAATATCTATTACTGGTACATTACCGGTTCTCTAATATATTGCCCTTAATAAACAATCACAACACCAGTTTCTATCAAAATCCCAATTTTATTCTTTTAAACACTAATGTTGCAGTGTACAAAAATTCTTCAAATTTTTTAACGTTCAAACTTTTGATACTACTTTATTACTTTATCAAATTTGTAACTCAAATCCACTAGGAACTTCCAGATATTTTACAAATAAAAATGAGACTTTTAAGGGATTTGGTGAAAAAAATAATTAATGGTAGAACCATATTTGATTAGTTTTTAAAATAGAGATGGATTAAAATTGCTCAAAAAAAAAATAGAGGAACCAAATCACACATAGCTCAAACAATTGTAACCAAAAGAGTAATTTTCCAAAAACTTGAGTAACTAACATATGTTGTAAGTTGCCATGCAGTGTAATTACCTGCAATATGAAAAGTATGGGACACAGCAACCACAGTTGGCCATCCACACCAGCCGTTTCCCCCCATACAACATCCATCCTCTTAGCCTATAATACAGAGAAAAACGAGAATCAAAACCACATACCTATTTCCAATTAATATGCTTGGAGAGAGTTTACTGTAAAATTAATGCCATAAGGAAAAAGAAAATTTTAATCAGGTTTAACAAAAGACTGCAGAGCCGTAACTACACTAAAATGTAACAAAATAGCATGATGGTGGAAAAAGGTATGTGAAGTTAAAATACAACAAGAAAAAGAAAAGTAAAGCAAGTAATATATACTATTTAACAGTGGCACCTTTCCCAACGCAATACGAGTATAAAGTCTCTGTCGTTGATATCTATTTTGCAAAAGCATTGCGACTCCTTGCATCATAGCCCACTGTAGGAACAGCTGTACACCTCTCTGCATGCATTATTGAGATATATATGATAGATGCATAACACCATGAACAAGAAAAAGCTAATAGTGCTCAGGAAAGAATTCTAACCTGCTTTTTTGCGCAGTCTGGTTGTCCTTTTATTTCCCAAGTGAGACTCACAACAGCCATTATCATGGCACAATAATGATGATATATCCACCTGTAACAGCATAGTATGGTTATTTTCTGAAGGATTTTGTCCCATGTAAACCAATGAATGACAAACTCAGTTCTCCCACGTCCCAGCATGCTTTCCAAAGATGATAATTTTAGCATGCCAAATAAATAAATATAAACTCCCTCCAATTCTTTGTACTCAATCTAATAAGGGACCAAAGGATGACGATTATAGTTCTCTTTTAAGATTAGAAATAATTTCCTCTTTAATAAAACATCAGAAGAACATAAGCACAAAAGAGGGAACTATTTGCTTTGCAAAAAATCGTCAAAGGAATCCACTCAAAAATAAGTTAAGAAACAATTCTGTCCTACAGAATATAAGAAGGAATAAACCGTGATAAATCTTGCGCATTTGACACTATGATCCTAGCCCAAACACCAACAAAGAAAACAGTTCTAAAACACCATGTTATCATCATCACAATCATCACCAAAAACTCAAAAACAGTTTCAAACAAAGGCATCAACTTAGTCATTGCTTCAGCCATGCATATGAAACTGCAACATCAGGAAATGTGGGAAGAAGGTTCAAGATAAGAAAATTATGAAATAAAGAAGAAGGTTAAAAGATTCTGAAGGCATAAGATCTAAATAATAAAAGGAAGGGGAATGTCCAACGAAGATGCATAATCATAGTATTCCAAGTCAGCAATATTTAGAAACACGCGGAAACTCTAGGATATGGTTATCTTGCGTAGGGGAAAAAATAACAAATCACATGCAAGGTAACCAGATGATAGAAGCAGGAAAAATATTTTTAAAAAAACAGAATCTCTGAGAAATGAAAATGGAACAGCATTCCCTCCAAAGAAAGCAAAGAGATAGAAAGTAGAGCTATAAATTTTCATACACTTGATTGAGTGGCAGATAAAACTAAACATAACATCCACTGTGGCAACATTTATAAACACACTACACCTAATGCCTAATCCTAACTAGTTAAATAATGTCTCTAATATCCTTCAAAGCAGAAACCAAGTTGCAGAGTTTGAACACGTTGAATAAACAGAAGGTCAAGTTATAGAATCTGAACTCGTTGAATAAACAGAAGATCAAGTTATAGAATTTGAACTCATGTGATCAAAAAACAACAAAGCACTGAGCACAGAATCAAGGATCTATTACCCATAGTAACTGCTGTCCATTATTGTTTCATAAGGATCACTAAAATTAATATAAACCATTAGAAAGCCTCGATTAAAAAGGGTTTGAAGACTGTACCATGGACGGATATCACTTCCATTTACTCTCAATATGTTCTCTCGCAATGCCAAACCAGTATAAAGAAATAGCAGCCAGGCCTGACAAAGGATCATACTCAATAACAGCAGGTTGCAGATAAATATTTCACGTAAGCAAGTCAATACTAATATAGCATCAAACAAGAGGAGTTCATCAGAAATACCTGGTAAATCTGTACGGGAAAAGCTGGCAAGCATCCATCCCAAACCCATGATCTTAGAATGAGAAGTGCTGCCGGGAAAAGCAGGAATAGCAGAGCAGTTCTATCCTGAACAAAAGAAATGTCATTTTCCAAAAAGTTTCATAAACATCCTGTGTCATGCATGCATGCATGCAGTAAAGAACAAAGTAGTGAATTGTGGGATCTAGTGTTGCTATTGTATATTGTGTCAACCTGATGTCGTGTATCGCTGCTGCGAATTCAGCCATGTTCCTTTGATTCCTCATGCCTACTCCTCTAGTTGTTATTGACTTGTTAGTTGTTAACTATGTGATAGATCTACAGTCTAGATTATGTAAACCTTCAATTGATTAATAACTATAATATAACTCCAAATGAGTGTTTAATGTTGTGCAGTTTTGGTTGACTAATATGTCATTGGTAAAGAGGCCAGTAACCCCCTAGAGAGTTTTTGCGGCAGGGCTGGACCTGTTTTATATCAAAATAAAGAATTTGCAGCCGAAAACACTATAATTTCCTAACAAAGAATTTAAAATTCACAACAAAAAAGGAGAAAAAAAAAAGTATTTACATGCAGTGGATATACATCAGAAATAGCGCCGCTATGGCGGATATACATCAGAAATAGCGGCTTGCACAATGGTAAATATCGGGCGATATTGCGTGTTTTTCCACCATAATCCGCTATAACGGCACCACAAAGCGGCCGATATGGCAGGATTTTAGCTGTCCGCCATTGACGTAATTACATGCAACGGATGGCAACTCAATAAATTTAAGTATAGCTTAAATTTGAAAGCATTATTATAACATAACTCAAACAATCAACAAATAATTGAGTAAAAAGAAACAAAACAAAGGGAAGAAGAATCTTACCCTGTAACTGTTGTATTCCTCTTTGACCTTAAGCTGCACATCTTTCCGAGATGCACGAACATTAATAGGCCCCAAAAACATCCTCAGAAACTTCCCTAAAACCCTCAAAAACATTAATCAACAAATAAATCAAATTAGTGAAAGTAATAAACAAACTAATTAACTAATTAACTAACCGTGAGCATGTCCTGGAAGAAGCGAAGAAGCATCACCATCAACAACAATACATCTGGCTCTCTGCAAATCTTCATCTAACTGCAACAAAACAAAACGGATCCATCAAATTGAAAGAAATTCGAAATCAACAAGAAGAAGATTATAGCTTACCTTATCAGCTATGGAGTGATTAATTAGTTTATTGTTGAGGAGAGAATCGAGAGAGGAACGAAGAGAAAGGATTTTGGAGTCGAGAGCAAGAGCTCGTTGCCGGAGAGGATGTTCGTCGCTCAAGGATTTAGAGATGTGACCGGCGACGGAATCTTGAAGCTCTTTAGCTTCTTCCAAAACGGAAGCGACAGATTCTTCAATGTTCTCTGGTCTTGATTCTCCCATTTCTCACTCTCTTTCTCTTCTTCTTCTTCTGTCACCGATACGAATGCATTCAAATCAATACAACAACACCGCACCGAATCAAAACCCAATCACGCTTTTTTTTTTCTTTTTCCCCAACTCGCTCTTTTTTTTTTCTTCTTCTTTTATAGTAATCGTTTTCGCCCACATAAATTCATTTATTATATTATTATTTATATTTGTTTAAATAATATCTCGATAAATATATATATTGTTTAGCATTACTTTATTAAATGTATGGATAATAAATTCACTCGATATTAATTTTTTATTAAAAAAATAAATTGTGTTTTTCTTTTTTATGATAATAATAGATAGATTTTAGCTAATACTTAGACACTCTTAAATTTTGTTAAATATTCATTTGTTCATCAAATAATATAATTTAATATCACATCACTTTTTTTTAAATAAATTAAAATTTAAAAATAATTTCACTATATTTAAGTATTAAAAAATATACCATATATTTAAAAAATAATAATAATAAATATATATAATATAATGTTTTGAAAGTTTTATAATTATGACTATTTTTTATAAAAACAATTAAACAACCACTATTTTTTTTTAATTCTCAAATAACCACATTTTCAAAATATATATCAAACTAATCACTTTTTAAAAATAAGAATTTGCGTCTAAAAAATGAGTCACGGCATATGGTGCAAGCACTCAACTTTTATCTTAGGTGTCAGTGTCGTAGCGCATGCTTGTGTGTAATGTCAATGGCATTGGTGTATGCATGCAAATTTTCGGAGCATCATGTTATTTTGTATTTTATATAAATAGGTTATTTTCTCCCCACCATTTTTCATCTATCTTTTAATTTTTTTCCTTAATTTTTTTTCAAAGTGTTTTATATCATAAAAAAAATGCTAATTTGATTTATTTGCCAGTAAAGTCTTAGATGAAGATTTCACTTTAAAACATGGAGACTTTCGAGTATCTTTAGAGAAGTTTGACCCGTTGGTTAGATGAAGACGTTAGAGAAAGTGAAAAGATTATAAAAACTGAAAGGTTTGTTACGGTGTTCAACATGGTGGACATCGTGTCAGGAATCAGTTAAAACTGATAGCAATTGTTGTATTATAATGCATAGTTCATATGAAATTGTCTTGATGGTAATAATCACATAAATATGTTATTTGATCGTTTTATTTATTTTTTGGTTGTTGTTTTAATTGTTGTAACCAAATATTCTAATTATTACGAAAAGAACATTATTTTTAATATCAAATTAAATGATTACATCAAATTAATTACATATGAAAAGCAAGACTAAAATTGAATTTAATAATTATGTTGTGGAACTTACTCAAATGTTGGGACATTTTGTATGACTGTACCACGGTTGACAACATGAAGTACATGATCTCACATTAAAAAAAATACGAAAAATAATAATAAACAAAAAATAAAATTAAAATTATATTATATTATATATATATATATATATATATATATATATATATATATATATATATATATATATATATATATATATATAAAAGTTAAAAAAATAAAATCCACGTGTAATTAAAAAATAAAATAAAATAAAATAAAACGATATATCATTGTTGTTAAATGACACATCATCTTTGTGTGTGACGCATAATGTTTTTGGAACGAAATTTATAAAAAAGGTCGACGATTCAAACGGTTACTTAACATAAATGACTAAATTGTAAAAAAAACGTAAAGAATAACTTATAATAATAAAATAATTTAAAGTATTCAAACAATATTTTTGCCTTTATTAAATATATGTATGGATGATAAAGTTTTATATCATCATTCATTCTATATTACTTTTTTATTAAAAATATAAATTGTAATTTTCTTTTTATGATAATAATAAATATATTTTTAGTGGACAGTTTAATACTCTTAAATTTAGTTGGATAACAAAACATTCAACCCATTAAATAATATAATTCAATGTTACATTATTTTTTATTTCATTATATATTAATAAAAATAAATTAGAATGTTAAAATAATTTATATTAAATATACTGATATCTAACTTAAACTCATGAATATTAAAAATTTTACCATATAATATTACAAAATGAAAAGAAAATAATAAATATAAAAAGAATAAAATATAATGTTTTTGAAAGTTTTATAATTATAAATATTTTTTAATATTCATGAGTTATATCGATAGATTGTATAATAAAGGAGTGTATTGTGATTTTAAAAATAATTATAAGTATATAAATATTTTTTCACTCTTATAATTTTTAAATTACATATTTTATTTTCTACCTGATTCACGAAATTGATACATCTATTTCAAATTTAAACAATTTTGATTTATCTCATATACTGTTGCATTTAAAATTAATGATGTTTCTATTTTTTAAATAGAAAGATTCTTGTGAGTTTGTATAGTGAAACTTTAACTATTAATCTATTAAAAATTAATTGTATGTACTTTCTAAATTGTCCTCTCACTCTAAATTATTTATACTTAAAAATGGTATTTAAGTAATCTACTAAATCAAGTAATGTTAATATTTTATATTCTCATTTCTTATAAAAGCATGATATGTGACATTTATTTTTAAACCTTCACCAATCAAATCACAATTAAATATTACATCCACCAATTCTCTTTCTTGATTCAAATTTTAAATATATTTCACATTTTTTCCACACTTTTTCACTTGCATTTTAATTTTTTCTCTCTATTTATTTATTATCACTATAAATACTAATAATCTATTTTTTAATTTTAATAAAATTAATAATCTATTTATTTACTTATTTTATTATTATCAACACAATATCTATTTTATTTTAATCAACCATCATCTTAATTTGAGAGACAAAATTCTTATTTCTAAATATTGTTTTTTTCTTTAACCATCACAAAGTTTTTTTCTTCTTTTTTGTATAATTATTTAATACAATTAAATTTGTATGATTGTTGTTCATTTGTATATCGTATCAAATAAACTTTACATGCGTATCTAAATATATTTCATATTTTGCATGTGTACTTAAATATTTTTCACATTATTGATTTGAAAGATAAAATTCTTATTTTAAAATATCAATATTTTATTTTATTTTCTTTCTTCTCAGAATTTGTTTTTTATTTCTTTTTTTAATATGACTATTTAACAGAATTGAGTTTATATAATTATTTTTTATTTTATAATTAAATAACTAATTTTAAATTTACATCAATAAAAAAATATATTTTATATTATATCAAATAAACTTTCTATTTTCCATATCATTATTAGCCCAATACATATTTTATTTTAATCAACAATCACTTTAATTTAAAAGATAAATTTTGTATTTTCAAATATTAAATTTTTTTATCTCACGTGTCTTTTTTTTGTGTTTTAATAAAATTGAGTTTATTTATTATTTATTTTAAAATTATCGTATCAAATAAATTTACTCGTACGGTCACACAGATATCTGATTAGTTATTAAAAAGAATATAAGTTAAAAAATAAATATTTCATCGATTTTCTATAAAAGAAACATGAAAGAGAACCAAACAGTTTGATTTTAGAATATGGAGACTAACTTCATGAATTAGATAAAATTAGAGTATCAAAACTATGATTTAGCCTAATTTATATGTTTAATTTAATTTTTTTTTCTTTTCAGTTTAGTTCATTCACATAATTAGTTCATACATATTTAATTTAATAATTTTGTATTTTACTTTATTTACAAAATGGATCCTCTATTTTAAATTTAAACAATTTTAATTTTTTTCATACTTTTGTGCTTAAAATTTTAATAATATTTCAATTTTTTAAATAACATTTTTTTAAACAAGACAAATCATTGTATATATATATTTATTATAGAATTTTATAGATAAAAGTATAAATTAAAAAACAAATATATCATCAATTTTTTATATATAAAAAAACAAAACTATTTAAATTTAAAATAAAAAATAACTAATTATGTGAAATAGGCCAATTTAGAAACCAAAACTATAATTTAATTTGTATATTTCAAGTTTAAATAATTAATCATTCTCTCACATTTGAATGAAAACAAACTATATATTAATTCAAAAAAGACAGTACAAAGCGATCCTAAAGGATCCAGCCTTCTAGAAGAAACCAAAACACCTAAGGAACAAAAAAAAAAAAAATTGTACCATCAGTAAAGCTATGTGAGGTCTAAGTCTCCCACAAAACCAACCTCTATAAACAATCATATCTATAACGGATTTCACATTACTATTATTATCTATATTGTTTTCCGAAACATTTATCGTTCCTATATCTCCAAATGCCATAGATGGTTTCCGTCGCCGCCAACTTTAGGATATTTGTTCTCCACCTTTTACCCGAACGACAAGATATAATCCACTTCAGCTTCTCATTCCAATCCAAATGAGTGTGAGCCATATTAATCCATTGAAGGATGCTTCTTCAAATAGTTTAAGTTTTAGCACAACTAAATAATAAATGTTCTATAGTTTCAACATGGGGGCAAAAAACACATTTCTCATTATCGAACAGACCCATTTTTACACAATTTAGCCTTGGTAGGAAGTCTACCATGACAGGCTTGACACAATGTGATCACCGCCCGAGGCCTCGCTACATTCTCGTATGTCAGTCTATGCCAACTCACTATTTCTTCACCCATGGATCTAAGTTGTAGATACACTTTTTTTGAAGCAAACGTATCACTACAAATCAACTGCTGCCAAATATTAAGAATATCAGGTAGAAAACTCCGACTATGAAGGACAGTTTTCATAATCCAAGAAAAAATAGCAGTAACAGCAACGTCCATGAAATTCAGTCCTTTAAAGTAATAAGTATGAACCCATTTCACCCACAAGTTATCCGCTTTCCGATAGAGATTCCATAACAGCTTAAGCATTGTCGTTTTATTCCACGTAGCTAGTTCTATAATATTGAGTCCACCGTATTTCTTAGCCCTGCAAACATCTTTCCGCTATCCTATTAACCTCCGACTTTC